ACCTCGTCATTTTTTTACCGTTTTGCTGTAAACGATCGATTCATCGATCATGGCCAAGTATCGCAGTTCAACGTTACCTTTAGTCTTACATTATTGTACTGGAAAATAATTTCTGTACGAAAGTTGAACAGTTTAATAATTAAAAAGAAATTGTAAACGAACCATTTAAATGTAAATTGAATTTTTCTCTGCGAATTATAGATCTGACGACGATTCATGAATTAATCGTTCGCCACGAGATAGCAAAAAATTGTAAGATTACTGGTAATAATCGCTAGCTAATAGATTTAGATAGTAACATTTTTGGGATTTGGAAATCGCAGACACCAACTGACGTTTCCACGGTAGCGTGGCGGTACTAGATTACCGATTAACAATTAACCGTCGGGACCCTCCAGGAATCCTGCGTCTGGCCCTGCGCTCTCGCCCCCTTCGACCGATTTCCGTTCGTCGGAAACGTCATGTGGCGCATTAATTGGATCGCCGCGAAATAAAGGAAGATTCATACGTTCGACGCCGTTGTTCGTTCCCCATTGACGGGGCACATAAATTCGTGCGCAATCATGGCCTCGAGCGTGGATCTTATAAAAGCGGGCCTAATCCAAAAGAAGATAGTGATCCATGCTGAAATCACGCGACAATGTGTCTCTCCGTGGAAAAAGAGCCGACACGCAAACGGTGGACCCGAAATTGTCCACTTGGAAGATTGGTTTTTTGCGTTTGCCGACGGGTGGAAGAAGCTGCAGCGGCGAAACGCAGCCGGTCCGGTGCATAGCACGCGTTCCACGCGAAAAAGGAAGACTCTCGGTGTTCGGGATTTCGTGCGGCGCGTATCGAAGACAGAGAAAGTCTTAACTCCCGTCGATGGGCGAGAACGTGGTGACAAATTAAAATGGGCGAGAGAGGCAGGTGGTGCTATCCGATGTTTCGCTTAATGTTATATATGCCGAGCTGTACCAGTTTTCAGTACCCGTGCCCGAAGAGAAGAGACATCGCAATTCGAATCCGAGCAAAAACGTACACCGACTTGAAACGCTGCTGGTTTTATTAATGAGCATCGAACCTGCATTCACGCAACGTGTCCTTTTGTCAGTGTATCACGCGTCTCGCTTTCCCGCCCCGCCCGATAACCGATCGGATTATGCATTTTTTATTACTCGCGTTCGATTATTCCATCGCGCGGCGGATTTTTCACTGCCGATTCTTTATTGCCACTTTCTACGGCGCTTTATCAGCGGAACATAAAAAGAATGAATTGGTGAGAACGAGAGAGAAGACGGAATCAACGGTGCGTGACCCCCTTGGGAAGGGTCAAGTAACGGAAGTAGAGCTCGGTCATCGGAAAGCAGTGGGCCGCGGGGATGAACAACAAATTAACCGGCAGTTCAATCCAACTGGCATCCCTCCGATATAGCATCATCGACGCGGATCATCGTTCTACACCGTCACCATATGTCGTGCAGGTGAAAACACCGTAGGTACTAGCTACGTGCCAATATCGAAAAACCGACAAAGTAGCAACTGCAACTCGACAACACGATATTGCATGCACGTCTTAAGGCATTATAGAAATTATAAACGGTCATTTCGATACTTTCGACGGAACAAAATCAAATGGTAAAAGTACTATTTATTGAACATGCAAAGAAATTGAGTGAAACGTCGCGTGATGCTACCGAAATGGATTTACGTAGGCGGATATCGGAGGGACGGACAATGGATAACTTCTGTCGAAGCAAAAATTCTCCCCAGGGACGGTGACCCCCCCAACACTTTTGTCATTAAACGCGCATTACGCGTGGCTTGCGCTGTGATGAACTTCGTCCACGTGACTTTTAATCGAATCGATCGGCCTGACTCGTTACACACACGTGAAACTACGTGTAGCGATATCAAACAACCCTTCGATATTAATCTCCTCCATAATGCGTCGAAGAATGAACTAAAATATTCTTTGAAGTCATTGGAAAATATCGATTATTAACCGTCCTCAATTTTTTACCAACGTAACTAAATTATTGACTCTCGTGACGGGCGACGAAAGACTCGGCAACTTCGATAAATGTTAGTAAATGCACTTTCTTATTCAAGTCTATGTACTCGGAGCCGACGTTGCAAGTGGTTGTTCAAGGAATATGAGAAGAGCGTGGCCGAATTTATGCGTGTCGTAAAGAAAGCGCGAATGGCTACATATTTCGTACCTGTTGCACGCGCGTGCTCGGTACCGTTTGACTTTAAACACAGACATTTCGCGAGCGTAATTAATAACGTGTCCCTTAACTCGAGAACGAGCATCGCATGTTCTTATGCGTTCGCGTTCCATGCGCGGATCTTTCATTACCCCCGTAAATTTTCTCGCCCGTGCGACCCAACGCGCTTTATTCATTAACTTCGACTCACCACGGAGAAATTTGTCATTTATCTAATTCAGTGATCGGGCGTTTAATACAATTGCATTGTCTACCTTAAACGCTGCACATTGTCTTGCCCATCACTTATTTCATTCGTCATTGCAAAACGCAAACTATGCAGCATATTTATGAACATCTTCAGCTGTCCCTCCGTTGGAAAAGGAACGGCAGGGACTTTGCTGCTTTAAAACTGAAGAGAGACGAGGAGAAACGACAACGCGTGACATTTATTTTTATGCCCGCTCATTTGCGCCCGCTTACGGTTGAGCACGTGCTACCCGGATCGATCCGACGAGCCACCTCTACGTATAAACGTTCGCGACAATACCTGTACAGTCAGTTTTATTTCCCAAGAACGAGTACTACGATCATTCCAACAAAGTTCGAAAATGCAATTCGAAAAACGAATACTACAAACGTTTGATAAAATAAAGTTCAAAGTGCAGATATCAGTACAAGTAAAGATGAAGTTTCGCTGAATCCAACTTTCCGTAATCGAAAACGCCTACGGCCAGTTTAAACTACTTTAATGACGCTTCGACGCATCGCGAATTGAAAATTACACCGACGAGGGCCGATGCAAAAACTTAGCCGACTACTAAAAATCGTGATACTTGGTCCAGACACAAGACACAGAGATTGCTATCTTCCATTACGGATAAAATAAAATCCTACGATTCATTCCACGAATCATTGTCTTAATCCATTTGCATCATTAATAATTTCTGTTCATTATCACCAAAATAATTATACGAACTAAATCAGTATGAAATAT